TTCCCCATCAGCTTCAGCTTCACCCAATTCGCCTTCCCCTATGTCGCCTAGGTTAGAGCGCTACTCTCCTGCGCCCCCTCGCGCAAGCCAAACTTCTTCATTTTTATCCAATAACACATCATCTATTTCAGAAGTCCACAGGTTCAAAGGACAGTACCAGGTAAGTAAGTATGGGAGGCACCGTGTATTAACTTACAAAATTCCAGGTAGAAGGCTATGCTATGCTTTCGCTTTCCACAAGCGAAAGCAGGGCTGTTTGGTCTACAAGTGCATCTCCTGTTGCAGGGCAAGACGGCATGTTCAGATAGATGTAAGCCATAACGACAAAGATGCCTCCCATTGTAACGATGATATTTTAGGTTATCGGCAACGATTTCCTGGAGGATCCCTGCGCCCTTCCTCACAACTGCCTGCCAAAAAAAGCTAAGAAAAATTTTGTTGAACGATTCATGTATAAAAAATTACAAGAAATCAGAAACGATCCCAATTTTGCAGATGCGGTTATACGGAAGGTGTGGCAAGATGTTCTCGACGCTTTCCCACAGATGCCTGATTTTAGTAAGTACGCTTAGCGAGAAGACCACGCATGAAAATTTCATCATTCAGGTCTAGAAGAAGTGCGCGAGATAATGGACGAATTCCACCAAGAAGGTTATTCTAAGCGCAGAAGAACTATATTGAAGTTGGTCGCCTTTGCTCGCCATACTCACGTAAAGAAGAAAGAATTGTATTTAGGAGTGTCCAGATGCACGACCGTCCGACGGCTTCTCTCGACGATGTACCAGAAAATCTGAGAACGCTGAAAGACGGGACAACATTTCTCCAATTCAGCTCTCCCGGACTGTACATATATTACTCAAAAACGACCATACAGGTGTGCTTGTAGTCTTTGCAACACCTCTTTCTGATGTTTTTCTTCAGAAAGCCGTCGAGAACGGGCTCACCGCCCTGGTAGCGGATGGTGTGCATAAACTACCACCCAAAGCACTTGGAGACGATGGACAACTCTACACCGTGCATGGAGTGTGTAACGGAGGGATCGGTAAGACACTTTGAATGACTCGGGATCGTCAGACTACTCGTAAGCTGTTTAGATGTTCCCCTCGTGCATGTATTGACAAGAAGAAAGAACGAGTCAGTGTACGACAAAGTCTTCGGAATGATTAAGCAGGAGCTGACAGAACAACATGTAGACTGCGGAAGAATAAGGATCATAATCGATTTTGAGAGAGCCGCTTTAGTTGGAATAAAAGTGAGAAATCTCATAATTGACTTGTAATAATTCCTTCTGACAGCCATCTACTCTAGAACCACTTCCCGGAAGGCTGCGTAGAAGGGTGCAGCTTCCACCTGGCACAGGCGTGGAATCGCAAGGCGCTGTCACTAGGACTGCGGGCGGAAATGAAAGAACATCTAGTGAGGGATTGGTGGATGACTCTCAAAGGCCTCATTTTCCTCCCACCTCGTCTCCACCGTAGAGTACCAGCGCTACACGGGCCACCAGTACCACCAACGCATCCAGCTTATCGCAAATGCATGAGCTTCCTAGCTTACTTGCACGAAAACTGGTATGCTGGGCCCTTCAAGAACATCTGGTACAAGTGGGGGAAGTCGGAGCTCAGAACAAGCAATGTAGCGGAATCGTATCACCGGTGAGTTCGCTTGCACACTTGCAGGATATTCCAAAGCTAATCACTACTGTTTCCAGAGTTCTCCGCGTTCTGATTCGAGAGCGTAACGCCCCTGTCCGGAAAACGCTGAAGTGCTTGCACGGAGCGGACAATCGTGCCATGTGCACCCTTCGAAACCTGGAGAGGGTGAGTGGATAGCAAGCAAAGATGTTTCCACTAAAAGCTGCTGTTTAGGGTATTGCTCGGAAACTTCGACGAAAGGACATCCTAAGGAGAGAAAGAATCGACAGATGCATGGAAGAACACCGCCCACACCTAGAACACCCTTCACCCGCAACTGAGTCTATAGTGAATTTTTGTAAACATATATCTCGCTTTGTATCTAATAAAGTTATTTAATGTTAGCTCGTGTTCAATGCATACTCACACTTGTTTTTAATGCACCAATCTCTCCGTACACTACCTAATGGTCGACCTTTCGTTACCTAGGAAGAGACAATAAACTTTATTATAAAGTCCAGCATGCGACCCCGGGACAATCGCATTCTGGACCGTGACGTGTCAAGAAAATGTGATTGCACATATACAACATTGTAAAAGATTAGTTGAGAAAGATAGTTAGTGTGGACAAATTATTAGTTGTAACAAATTTGATGCAAGTTCTGCGAATCTTGAGTTTGGATCATCATAACTTTCTACGCAGTCTTCGTGTGCGATGAAAATTTTTGTAACCAGCATACCTATGGTAATTCACTGTGCATTACGAAGTTGCGTTGGTGTAGCTGCAAACAGAATGCCATATCCCGAACATTGCCAAGAATTTTCTTGGAAAAGCTTCACTTCAAAAAACCCTAACTTATTTCTGAATGTAGTAAGAAGCGCAGATTACTCAATGTATAGCCTGTAGTCGGTTTTGCGGCGGTCTAATCTCGGATTTTACGAAAAATTCTCTGCGAGAGTAATTCAAAATGTTTGAAAGTATCAGTTCGATTCCTATTGAGGAAAACATGA